CTCTCGGGCTTTAAAGAAGCCGCTCGATTAACGGAGTGGTCTTCTTCTTCGCTGCTCTCGCTGAAGTTCAGGTCACCGTTCTTTCAGTGTTAAACCCTCTACGGCAAGGACTTCCACTTGTCCAATTGGGCACTGTTGTGTTTTCAGCCCGCTGTTATTTGCCTCATAAATACTTTGCGATTCGCCAGCGTACAATAAACCGAGGATGAATAAAAAGTCGCTGGCCGTGTTGCCTGGAAACCCAAAATGCACGATGACGTGCATTTGGCGTCTTTATTATTTGTTTATGGCTTGTTGCTAGGGAACTGCGGATACCAAACCGACAGAAAGATTTATGACCAAAGCGAAATCGCAGCTCGCTTGCGATCCTCGCGTAATCCGCGCGCTGCGCACGCGACAAAATTATACACTCGCTCCGCGAGAATTAATATTTACCCTACTATTTCCCTACTTCATCGTATCTAGCAGGGATCACTCATGTATTTGCAATGGCAGATCGAGGCAGCTAAAGAATGCCTACAGATATATTTGTCTCCCTTTCCCATGTTATTGCTTAACCTCGGTCTGTATATCTACCAGTGTGTGAAAGCCAGTAACCAATCCTCAATTACTCGTATGTAGACAATTACCGCCACAGTGGGCCGGGGCAGGTGTTGGGGATCTTACAGGACGTGAAAATTACCCACTTTGAGCCTGTTTAAGTACAGTAGATAAAACTTTTGGAAACAATAAATTACAAAAAATATCAAAATATTCAATGATTTTCTAACCTTTTAAAAGTTAAATCATTATTTTTTTATATATCAGAATGTCAGAATTACGGAAGCCTTAACAGTTATACCAGAAAGATTACGTACTCCAGTGGGGGTCATTGTGACAATGGAATCGGACCTGGCTGGTTTCGTTTTGAGGGGTCAGCCGGCACAAGAATGCCAACTTCATGTCCACCATATTACAGATGCGGCACTTATGCAACCGGCTGGTTGAATGGTGGACACCCCACAGTAGCAGACGGTCAGGTCAGCAGGACGGTGTGTTTCCACTGGACATCAAGCTGCTGTGAATGGTCAACAAACATCAAAGTGAGGAATTGTGGTTCATATTATGTTTACTATCTTAGTGGTACACCTACTTGTTCTCTCCGTTATTGTGGCACTAACTAAAAACAAGGTGCAAGTAAAGTAATACATGTTCTATCATTTCATTTAAGCAGGCTTCATTGTATTAAAGAAACAAAAAAAAAAATTGCCCTTAACTTCATTTTGTGAATTTGCATAACTTAAGCAATGAGGATAAGTACACTTTTAAGCCGTTTTGAGGATCAAGTAAGAAATAAATAATGGTAATCGAACTTACCGGAAAGTCAAACTAGGTAAAATAATACATTAAATCAGCAATGCATTTTTTGTGTCACTTGTCACGATGATCAGAAATATACACTGAGTCCAAGAAAGCCATGCAGTTGTTAAACTACGATGGACAGATGTTTTAACTTAGAAGATGTACCGGGAAAGGCGGGTTATGAATCTGCTCACTTTTTTTAATATTTTAAAATCGGTATAGGGATGCACTCTGTAAAATGGGAAACGAAATATATAATGACTATAGGTACAGTCAACTCACGCACTATGTTAAAGAAATTTTTGGAGTAGGATTGAAGTCTCTTTGAGAAATAAACGTACAGTTTAGTGAAACACTTGTCACATGCGTGTGTTTTTATTGAGTATGACAATAGGCTCTTTGCACGTTGGCGTCATTTTACCCACTAACAGAATCTTCTAAACCCCAGATTAAATAAAGCGTTCTTATACCGATTGAGCTAAATCCAGGCCAGACGGTGGAGTTTTACCGTGGGAATCAAGTGTGCAAGTCGCGTAGCGCCCGTGCGAAGGAAATGAAGCGTCAATCGGATATGTGCGGCCGTGCTGAAAGTAAGAAATGAAACGAATCGAATCTAGAAAGAAAATTGAGATTTTAACTTCAAACAGTTAATAAGGAATCAAAGAAAAAATTTTTGCCCCCGGCGAGATTTAAACAGGGTGTCAAACTCGAAGAATGACGGCCTGCTCTCTCCGGGTGTCCATTAAAGATCTCCCATCGTTAGCCGTTTTGGGAACTTCATCTTAACGAACCGCAGACGTGTTTTCGGTCGTCGCTTCTCTCCCGTCGAAAAATAACGTCAGCGAATCCGAGCGGCAAAATAGTTTCCGTGACGTAGAACCTTTTTAGCCAATCACAGTTTAGCTCTGAAAATCAAGGAACTAACTCGCCAGACTCCTTGCAAGATCGTACGCGGTGGATGTGTATACAAGTCGAAATTGAAAGGACGACGTAGCCTGTGTACAGCCGCCGCGTTTACGAAAGTTAATTTGCCCGGATTGTGGGACTGATTGATGAAATAAGTCCCAAGAGGATTCATATCGAAGAAAAGATTAGAGGAATTTTTTTATCTATTTGCCTACGGGGTCAAGGATTTATCACACCTTGTTCTTTTGATCATGTTCAAAATAGACTCCAGTCTCTATTTTTCTTTAGATTTAGTGAGGATAGTGTAATCGCGCGCGAGCGTCGAGCAGCGAAGCCGCGAAAGACGAGAAACGAGGGCGGCAGCCTCTTCCGTCTCTCGCCTTCAGTCATGCTCACAGTAATTTTCAAGGAGTTAAAATAACTCCTCTAGTGGGGTTAATTTAACTCCTTACAGTGGAGTTATTTTTTGGGGGAGTAAGAGAGAATTCTTGGGGGGGGAGTTATTTTAAAAGGAGTTTAAAGAACTCTTTTTCAGGAGTAAAAATCAGCCCAGATATCGAGGAGTTAAAATAACCCCCAAAAAGGAGTTGATCATGTACCTTAATGTTTTATACCATAAAAGGGACTATCCGGTTCCCAAAATTTTTACTCCATTTTTAGAGTTATAATAACTCCCTAAAAGTTACTGTGCACGTTGATCATGTCATTTGCGTGTCTCGCGCGTTTTGCTCGGCGGACCAAGAAAAAAGGGAGACTGCTCGTAGACGGTCACCTCTATTAAGCGTACGCAGTCACCCTTTCTAAGGTCTCAAAGTCCTGATTTTATTGTTTTCACCTGTATTAAAACACTAAATGACCGGCAGTTCTATATTCTCAGTAAATTTCACAAAATCGAAAAATTCCAGCTAATCTAAATTATCATCATCGGTCATTTAGTGTTTTCAACACCTTAACCGGTTACCATGGTTACCGGCCATATAGCCACAGCGTTATTTTTAACCGTGGTGTCAACATTGAAGATAAAATTGATTCGTTAACTAGTTTCTCTTTTAACCAATTGCACGGACAATTGTCCCCTTCAAAATGATTATGTTCACAAGGCACTTCCAAACCATAACCAGCTCCTCTGTTTGCTTTTTAATTTAAAAATACAAAAGAAAATCAAGTATCAAATGCCATTCTCACTTACCCTATTCCCCGTGGGTGATCGCTTAACTATACAGGTTTGACTGTAGCTTGTCGTGTGCCGCTTTAGATATGTTTTAGAATCCTTTATCTTTGAAAGCTAGGACATGTGGTAATTAGTTTCCAATACGTGGTTGCTTCTTGGTTCAGACAGAACTTGGTCCGATCGAAAGCATTTTATATTTGTTCGTGATGTTCTTTTCAGGGTTTTAACTTCCACAGTTTTTTATTAGATGAGTCTTCTGCTGTAAATATTTATTTCACGCCGGGTCCGGCCCAGATTTATAATATTTCAAATCATTGTTTTGTGGCGATACTCGTAGGATCAATATTCTCTTAAGCCGTTTTAAAGATCAAGTAAGAAATAAATAGTGGTAATAGAACTCACCAGGAAGTCAAACTAGGTAAAATAATACCTTATAAAATTAGCAATGCAGTTTTTTGTGTCACTTGTCACGATAAATATACACTGAGTACAAGAACGCGCATGCAGTTGTTAAATAAACTACGATGGACAGAAATTCCCCCTTCTACGCAGGCTACCCAAGCTGTCCCTTCTCATCTTCAATAAAGTACGATTTTTACCCTCACATTTATGATAATTATGAATCTTCAGGTTAGAACAGCAGCAACTATTTTTTCTCGTGGCCACTAAAGCATCAATGATGTTCACTGATTCACTAAAAGTGGACATTTCTGACTTAGCCAAGGAGAGATGATGACTGAAAAAAAGTAAATTAATTTAACAAGCCCGGCCTTTCTCCCGCGAGTCTGAAGAGTTTTTTAATGTACTTTATGCCCCATGCTCGTTCTCCCAAACCTTAAATAATAGTTAGATCAACGGTACATTGCTGTGATGAGCTCTGTTTGCTGTAATGAGACTGATGCACTACACAGCACCATGAAACACCATAGTTTGGCCACTTGAGTGGCCGTTTATTCTTTAATAAGATTTCCAGAAAATACAAGACAGAAACTAATTATTCAATTGCAAGAAAATTGACAACTTCTCTCCTCCAGAATTAGGGAGGAAGTTGGAGGGGGTAAAAACCTTTGCGCACTGTTGTGTGAAGACAAAGACGCTTATAACCTAGCCTGCTTCAACTTATATATCACTCTGAACACTACCTCCGGGATGTAGAGCATTGTTTGCGCGATCTAAACTTAAACTCTCCAAAGGATAACTTAGCAGGACGCATTAAGACACTTACTCCCCCAACGGGAGTAAATTCCTATCCCCACGTCTAACTTTTAATTATACGCGCAGGTGCTTCTAAACGATCGACAAGTTTTATATGTGTGTCACGGTCTATTTTTAGATGAAATGGTAAATTTTTTGTGCGGCGAAGACCAAACTTATGCCACTTTTTGGAATGTATAGCACTCCAAAAGATACCATTTGGCTGTTCTGGAGCATTTAGTTGCTATATATTACGTCATTGAACGTGCTGAATCCACATATTGCCGGGCATATTGCTTGCGATTCCTATCTGACAAGACTGATATATTCTAATATTAAATAAAATCTGCAAATAAACTTTGAGCGAATAAACTAAATAGATCGACAATTTCACTTTTGTTTCGCTTTGATGACAAACTGAACTAAGTGAGTTTACACACTGAATTAAAAAATTCAAGGATTCTATTACCAACCTGTTTGTGTATCATGCGTTCCTGTTGCTGAAGCAATCTCATTTTTCCTGGTTCGTATATATTGGCTGGTCAACATGAGAAACTTTTTCTCGAATTAATCGTACTTGGGAAAACTAGGTAAGTAGTCGCTGCTCTGTTAATCGTAATTTGTATATGTGATAATTTAAACAAGTTAAATTAAGTCGCCTTGTTTAAATTACATGATCTAATTATTTTGTTAGATCCCGGCGCGAATGGACTCCTACATAAGATACTACTGCTTATTCTATCGATCTCAACGAACGCGTTCTGGTCAAGAACAAAACCATTAAAAACCATTCAACTCCCGCGTTCGTGCCCGTGTTTTCCACACCATCAACTTTAGTGATTTTTGTTGTCGTTTCGATTTTGACAATTACAGCTCTTGACAACTACAACATCCGCCCCATCTGAAACTTTGCGCTGGGGAAAAATGTCAACTATTTTATCCTTAAATTTTGGGAATGGCTCTGCAATAGAATTCTTAAAAATTAGTTGATAAGGGTTTTTAAAGCGTCAATTACAACATATAATTTATAAAAAACAACAACAACAACAACAAAAACAGTGAAAGTAGTGAAAATTTTGCCTAGATCGTGCATAGAGAAGGCCTCTTTTAGGATGAGAAAAAATGCAAGTGTAGTCAGATAAACAGTAAAATCTCCCGGAAAGTCTTTTGCAGCTATTGAAACAACTAAAACTAATGCATTTTTTTCGAGGCTATGGAAAGAATAAGAATCTAAGCAGACACAGCAAAAGCTATCGAAATAAGTTTTACTTCAAATGCTCGAAAACAATACGTTTGTCCAGATCATCAAAATGCTTGATCTTAAGAAAAGCTCGTTAAAAGTGTAAGTTTGGCGATAAAAAGGCCACGCTGATCGGGATATTAACTTAGGCCAGGAAGCAAAAACGAAAACAAATTTGCGTAACGTCATCGTCGTGTAGATGTTATAGATCAGAGCTACTTTTGTTATAATAATGTAGTTGGGAAAAAAAAGAAAGAAAGAAAGAATTTTCAAAACAATAGTTTTCTAGCTGCAAAAGAGTTTTAAGAAAACTTGCAGGACCACAGCCAGAAAGGCAAAACCGCTCAGAAAAATTTTTAAATTTATAAAAATTCTCAGTTCTGTTTAAATTGGAGCAACGTGACATTTAATATATTTGTTCTACTGCAGTAGTAGACGCATCAATAAATAAATTATTGGAGTCTAAAATTACTCAAAACTAGAGTTAGAACGATGTATATTTCCCCCACACCATCAACTTAGTGCTTTTAGTTCTTGTTTCAATCTTGAGAACTACAACTCCTAACATCTGCCCCATTTGAAACTTTGCGCTGACGAAAAATGCCCACTATTTTTACCCTTTTTGGGAATGGCTCAATAGAATTCTTAGAAATTCATAAATAAGTGTTTTTAGAACGCCAATTACAACTTAAAAAAAAAAAAAAACATGCAAGTAGTGAAAATTTGCTCTAGATCGTACACAGAGAAGGCTTCTTTTAGGATGAGAAAAAATGCCAGTATAGTCAGTTGAACATTAGTATGGGCTCCCGAAAAGTCTTTTGCAGCTATGGAAACAACCCAAATGATTGTAATTTTTATGCCTTTGGTAGCTTGAAAAGAAGCAGTAAAAAAGAATAAACCTAGAATAACGAAAGGTACAATATAATGAGGAAAACTAAGCCTAATTTGCATGTTTTGTTTCCTTATATAGGTTAGAGATCGGATAAAACGTTTGCTTGCGTTCGTCGAACTGAACGAACTCAGTACTAAATAACCAAAATGCTCGATCTTAAAAATATGAAGTTGACAGGTGACATTATATCCTTAGTCAATACTTACGGTTTCAAAGGGAAAAAATTAAATATCGGTAACGTGATATTTTTGAATTGAAGTGCCTGTCATAATTCACGGAATGGTTCATGTTAATTAGCTGTATCGTGGCATCGAAACAAAAGAATAGGGTCTAACAAAGACAACAGAAATTCAATGATAAGACACTGAGTTTTTTAAACGGTTTTGAAAGATATTGTTTAATTTAAAAATTTGGGTAATACGGGATCGATCTAAGGTCGTTAATTTAACGTTCAAAGGACAGAAAATTCTAACGGCTGCATTTCGTAAAAATTGGTTTACGAAAGACAAATTTAAAAGTTTGCCTACAAGGAATATCTATAAGCCCTTAGCAGTACCCAGAAAATACTTTTCAGGTTCAAGAAATTGAAGAGGTTTTTACTTTTTAAAACTGGCTGTTTCACCTGAATTTTTTTTTTGCTTTAAACACTCGTTTAATTTGTTGAAAAAAAAAAAACGATTTTCTTCCTCTTTCATTATGTAGTTTTAAAAGTTTTATTTTCCAAGATAATTGTTTTAACTCAAACAGTTGTTATTGCGGTGTTTATTACTATCCCGGTTTTTCATTTTAACTAGGCGTCAAGGGAACACCCTTGCAATTGTCGGTCGCTTTTAATTGATACTCGAAGATTGTTGGACGATGATGGAAAAAAAACAACAACAACAACAACAACAACAACGAAACATAATTGAAGTTAGCACATTTTGGGCAGTTACGATTATTCAAGTTCGATTAAACTCACAGCCAAATGAAAGGTTAATTAAATTACCATAAGAAATTGCGTTTCTGGAGCTCGAAGGACCGATAAGGTTTATCCTGAGACCCCGACCGGATATAAAAACGGAGATTTTTTTCCTCCGTTTCAGCATTCCTTCCACACGTCAAAGGTGGTTTTCGGCTACCAAAAATGCAGATATTTGAAAAAGGATCCTAGTGGAGTTGGAATTTTTTCAAAATGCCCACTTACTGTTTGCGTGTGGGCGGACAAAAACGTAGGATACGATGATGACATACATCATACAGCTCATGCCCTCAAAGAGCTTATGTATTTCGCTCGTTTGAGCGTTGTCGTACGGACGGGCGAAAACGATTCGTATACGATTCGTGTAGAGGAGAAACGGAGTAAACGTCTCTGTTTTAAAAAATATCCGGATACGTGAGGACGAGGCCTGAAACGATTTCACCTTGTTGTAGTGCTGCATAGTTTTCCATTCATTTACCAATCGTCCAATTTTCTGCTAAGTGTAAAACACTCTTCTAAAATCTTTCAGATTTAAAGTCCTATTAGGAGTTTTTGGAATAGAAATATTGAAACAATGAAACAATGAAATAAAGCAACTATGGCGAAACACAAATTAAAGTTTAAACTTTCGGGCCTATCATAGCCTCTGTAACTCTTAAAGCTCTATCACAGCTGTTAAATGGGGTGCTTATGATGTGGAAAATACAGCAAGCAATGCAAGGCGATGCCATCTAGACCGCTAGAATTCATCCCGCCGTTCACCCCGGTAACCGGGATGAAGTGTTCACATGGCAAAATTTCCAGCCCACTTACCGAGATCTCTGTTGAACTGAGGGCCTCTTCATATGAGCCGGGTTGACCGGGCTGGCTCGGTTACCGGGATGAATTTTGCCTTGGGTTCATATGAGAAATTTTAGCCCGGTTTCCGAGATGAGAAAAGGTCAAAGATCCTGGGTACGAGTTCTGGCGCCAAATTTGGGAAACAAAGCAAACATAGCGAAACACAAAAATTTTAACTTTCGGGCCTATCTTAGCATCGGTAACTCTTAAAGCTGTATCACTGCAGTTAAATGGGATGCTTATGATGTGGAAAACACAGCAGGCAATGCAAGATGATGCCATCCGGACCGCCAGAATTCATTCCGCCGTTCATCCCGGTAACCGGGATGAAGTGTTCATATGGCAAAATTTCCAGCCCGCTTACCGAGATCTCGGTTGGAAAAACCGAGATCTCGGGAACCGAGCCAGCCCGCCCTCTCATATGAACACATCGAAAATTTTACAAAGGATTTAGAGGTGAGGCGAGATCTCGGAAACCGGGCCAGCCCGGTCAACCGGGCTCATATGAAGAGGCCCTAAACCGAGATCTCGAGAACCGAGCCAGCCCGCCCTCGCGATCATATAAACACATCTAAAATTTTACAAAGGATTTAGAGGTAAGGCGAGATCTCGGAAACCGGGTTCATATGAAGAGCTTCTGAGAGGTAAGGCGAGATCGCGGAAACCGGACCAGCCCTGTCAGCCGGGCTCATATGAAGAGGCCTTAAAGCACGCTCCCGCTACTGAATTTGATTAGGAGAATATTCCAGCTATGTTATTAAGGCATATCTTTTCTTTGAAAAACATCTTCCTTTCCCTGGAACCCTTACTATGGTAATCAGAAACAGGAAATAAATTAATAATGACGACTTAGCGGTCAGGCTCCTCCACAGAGTGGTTCTTCTTGTACCCGATTCTGCAACAAGTTCATTGAGATTTTTGAGGAGACGGAAAAGAAGAAATGCCCGGAGAAAATTTTTTCGGAGTACTCAGTTCGCAGAAGATGTCGCTACTGGGATTCGAACTCAGGCCACATTGGTGGGACTTGAATGCCCTCACCTCTTCACCAGTCTACCTTATTAATATAGCAATTGAATAATATTGCAAGTAAAATTAAGGGATACGCGATATGCTCCTACCTTACCTTGAAGCTTTTGTAGCTTAACAGTAAAATAAAGTAGTTGAAGGAGTTTGAAAAGTTTACCACTGTTCTTAAAAACTGAGCGACAAGCATAAGAAAAAACAAAAAGCGAGATGGAGATGAACGAGTCAGCTTTTAAAAGCGGAATTTTTGGTTGAAAATTCAAACCACGGTCAAAGTTCCTGGAAATACAATCGAAGAAATAAACTCCTCTGTTTAAACACCGTTTGGTGAACGATGCTTATCCTTTATCCTTTAATGGGTAATTATTCATCCCTGGTTAATTTCAAACTTTAGAAGAAAGGCAATTTGTGATGAAACTCTGACTACTAGGGTTGAACGAAGGAGTTTCCCAGTAAGCGATTTCCCATTGCCCCAGGCCTCTGTTTCAATGCGAGGCTAAGTGCGAAGCCATTGACAAGAAAATAGATTGTTATTCTCAATTAAATAAAACTCATTTTCACTCAACAAAGTTTTTGTACTTAGCCTTTTTTTGAAAGAAAGAGTCTTACGAACTTGGAAATAGTCTATACCATTTCTATTAATGGGTGCTTTTATGTAAAAGGTTGCTTTAAAATTTATCCAAAATCAGCGAGTAGTCTGAATACCTTTGTTTTTAGTAATTACGTGGTTCACTCGTATTATCCGCGACTGTTAATACTCTTTAATCGGCTAGAATAGGTAACTCAAAACGACCTGGTAAATACAAAGTTGTGTAATTAAGAATTAAATTCAGTCAAATAAAATATTTGGCTCTCGGTTGTCTTTTCAAAGGGATGAAAATGAGGCAGCTCTTTCGTATATCAGTTCTTTTTGTGCTGGGTCAACTACCCTACAAAGCAGTAACTCAACAATGCGGATCCCAGGTATCCATCTTCGGCTGGATGTTAAAGGGACACATCTACAACACGATGTGGGCAGAACTCCTGCATACATGCGTACAAGTTTGTCGCGAAGACGATCGATGCCAAAGCTTTAACTGGGTGATCTCTCTCCTCAAGTGCGAGTTTAGTAACAGAACCAAGGAAGCCAGACCTGAGGATTTCATTCCTGACCCAGACAGATTTTACCACAAACGTGATAGGAACAGAGGTAAAAAACTGTTTACAATAATTGTTTATTAATTGTTATGATGACTGAGTGGAATCGAAGTAGCTAACCTCTGTAATCATTCGTGAAGAGTGATTAAACAAAGTTGGACGGCCGCGTACCGGCACAGGTAGCCCAAGCTCGAAATACAAGCTTTGGCGAACATCGGCCTTGTTGCGTGACATTCGAAATATAAGGATTTGTATGGGATAAAAACCTTTATTATATACATACTGAGAAATACTCACCAAAAAGCTATGTCGTAAATTGTCGTACGCAAATTAGTTCTAGCCAATCAGAGGAGCGAACGATGGTTTTCACACGTGAAAAAAATGATACGTCCAATCAGAATCGCGAACGATGTTTTTTCACGTGTGAGAAAAATGATACGTCCAATCAGAAGCCACAGAGGTGTGTGAGTTTCGCGCCAAAATTCCCGCCTTTAATTGCAGCTTGCAGCGCCGCTTCGCACACATTCAACGAGAAAAGTTTTACTCAAAGAGTTTTTCTCGCTAAAAAAGTGAAAAACATTTCGGAAATGGAGTGGAATAGTTTCGTTTGTTTCACTGTCGATGAAAAAAACGGTAGAGAGCCGGCGAAACAACAACGGAAAGGGAAAAACAGAACGAGACGTAAGCCTTTGTTGTGCTTTTTGTCGGAGCTACTTTGCCTTTCATTTTAGCTTAAGCTTATAATATTCAAACCGGCCATTTTCCTTAAATTCACTCATTTTCAATTGTGCATTGAGAACAAACAGTTAAGATAACTTATAGTTCTTGGATTACCTCGTATCCTTACCGTCCTTTATGTTTTTAACAAACGTTTTTACTAAAAAGCTGGTACTTCGTTTTCGTTGTCATTTTGCGGTAAGTGGGTAGCGGCAAATTTTAGCATTTTTGAAAGATTTAAAATAAAAAGGCCGCCAAAATGATGAATGTCTCAGTATGTATATAATAAACACAATACCACATGGAAAGTGCTTTGTACGGTATTTACGCACTCGTTGTTTTTGTATCAGAAATCTTACTCGTTCGCTGCGCTCACTCGTTCGATTTCTGATACGTCAACAACTCGTGCGTAAATACCGTACGCCAGCACTTTCCATGAAGTATTCTCTATATCGTCTCTGTAACCTACGAAAATGAAAGGATTTCAAATAAAAAACAGCTTACCTTACTTAAAATGTGTTACGTCGCTCTAGTGTGGTCCACGGGCCGATTTATGGCCGTTTTATGGGTTTTTATTTCTCTAGAGAGAAAACGGTTTACATAAAGGCCAATTTGAAATAATGTCATTTGTATTTTTTCTAAAAAGTAACCAATACCAGCGCCCATGAATGGCAAGTACTGTCTTAGGGACTACCACTTTTTTTTTTAACTTGGCGGGGGGGTGGGGGGTTGAAGGGTTGGAAAATTTGCACATGCAAACATTTTTTATATATATATGCGACTCCACGTTGCAAACATTTTTTGTGTGACTCCGTCTTCCTGCAAACACTTTAAGTTTTTACTTGCATGCAATTTATTTCAAAAATTTCCACCCCACCCCGAATGGTGCGTCCCGAATTACATAGCCATGAAGCAATGATTGTGCGTCCTTTTAATCCTGATATCAGGACAACAGATAACCAATCAGTTTGAATTATTTTTTATCCGCCCTGCTGTGACTGAGCTTCCTACCCTGAAGTATATATGTAGCAAACTAACTGTCAAAACCGACTGTAAATCAAATAAAAGACATGATGAATTGACTTCTTCTTTCAGTGCCTCTAGGTTCCATTCCCGAACTACCGGCTGAAACCTGTTTCGAAATAAAGATGAGTGAAGGTCATTCCATCAGTCAAAAGTATTGGTTTTCTACCATTAAACCTGGCACGTCTGTTCTCGCTCACTGTAATATGGAGACTGAAGGTGAGTTCACTTTAAATTTATAAGTGATAAGATCCGTTTCAGTCGGTTATAGACAAGCAAAGGTGAGGAAGAGAAGACAATGCTTTGGAGGTGAGGAATGAGTTAGCGTATAACTGAATGATCCCGGGGACTAACCTTAAAAGGATTAAGGCTCTTTCAAGTATATATTGTCCATTTTGCATTCTTTGTATTACTTTACACATGCAAATGTGAAATAGACAGAAAAATAGGCTGCTTGCTCCAGGGGTGCTCCTGAACGTCTAACCTTTACTTTTATCATTCAGATATTGACGAATGCACTTCATCTGTTCGTCTCTGTGACGTCAATGCGACTTGCACCAACAATAACGGATCTTACCTCTGTACTTAATTGCAAGATTGGATTTTCCGGTGACGGGAAAACTTGCAATGGTAGGAAAAGTTGTTTCCGAGATCATTTCTAATGCAAGTTGACCTCGATTTAGATTCTCTTTGAGATGAGATGAGGACACACTCGACAAGTTTTAATGCCTTGAAATCTTCATTCATAATATTTTAACACCTTGACGCCATCTTAACACTGAGCACTGAGACGTGCGGAATCATTGTTGCCATGGCAATTTTGCAATTTTACATGTGAAATTATAAATTAACGCGTAATTCGTCACCCATTATAGTATGCCTAATATGCAATGGTAATCACATTCACTGGTGAGGCTTTTAAGTCTAATTTAAAACGTTTGTTTGATATGTTTGTTTTTTGAGTAAACCGGTAACAACAGCAATACAACACCCAGGAAAAAAAATGCAGTAATCAGGGCCGCTTGGAGTAAGCAAACAGACAAGTGATGTCAATCAGTCAGATTATGTAAGCAATGAATAAAAATAAAGTACAGGCGCCGGTTGCACACACGGTGGATAGCGCTACCCAACGGATAGTCAATAATTACGCTTTCCACTTGATAGAGATTTATCGAGTGGATATAGGGTTATCTATCTTTTGAACAACAGAGGCCAGGTCGGCAAGATGCACAAAATCGTAAGATGTGCCTAAGTGCGATTTTTTTGTTCAATAAGTGCAACAATATCGACTGTTGAAGCGTGCGATATATTTTTTTTTCTTTTATCAAGCTTCCAGCGGGAATCGAACCCACGACCGGTGGGTCGTGGGTTCGATTCCCGCTGGGGGCTCGGATTTTTTCCGAGCATTTCTTAGTTGTACCTAATATCTATTTCTAATTTGATCAAGCTTAAAATAATTAATTTCGGCCGTTTAACTTGTTTCCTCTTTGTAAAGAAAACGGTTACACAGGTTATGATTACGCTTACTTGTATTGTTCCCTTTGTGTAGATATTGAAGAGTGCACCCGCGGTACTCACAACTGCCACAGTTCACTTGCTTCATGTACAAACACAGCGTGATCCTTTAGTTGCACATGTAACAGCCCTTCCAGCGGAGATGGCAGAACTTGTAATGTACCATCAGGTAATCAACTCGCCAAATATTAGGAAGATATCCATTAACTAGGATATAGACCGCTAGTCGGAGAAAGCAGAACTCGCATTAATATTCCATACGGTAATTAATCACCAAGAATTAGGAATGTGTTCATTTACTAGACCCTTATTTACTCTCGTTAGAAGCACAGCACTCTAACGTTGATTGTTTAAAGAGGGTTCCAGTTTAATGCAAATATCACCCAGATCTCTTGTCGATGAAGCCGAAGGCGAGATCTGATCAATTAATCAAGAGGGAAATTCAATTTTCTTTTTAATTAGCCACTCAAACGACCTATATACAGTGAGGGAGTGACATGAGTATTGCCATCAGCGCGCGCCATGGTTTCTGCAATTCATTCTTCACAAAATCTTTTTCTGTTTTTTTTCCCCTTTTGCTTGCCTCATTACGACGCACGGATACGTGTATCGATCATGACCGGCTTTGCACAAGCCAAGGCCCGTTGAAGAACAAGAAAATGGAAAAGTTTTCTTTTTAATATTTCTAACGTAAGTGAATGACTGTATCACAACAGTTTACTTTACTAGTGACTTCTAGCGTGTAGGGGTCGGATTGTCCATACATAGCCGGTTTGATTGTGCATGATACTCGTTTCGTAGCTACGAAACTAAAAAACTTCTGCGAAGAGATTTATCGAATGGATAGGGAAACCATCTAAAAAGCTACGAAACTTCCTCGAGGGTGCTAATGGAGGCACCCAATTCTCAGTTAACTGATAATTTTTCAGCCAAATATAAGTAAACTACTATTTTTTGGGCAATTCTCGGTTAATTACTAATTTCGGTTAGCTATTAACTTTCACTTTCCTATAGCGAATATTATTCCGTCATAACCCGAATTTTCTAAAATCAAGGTATAAATTTTACATGAATTTACATAAACTCCACCACTAGTAAAATTTATAAGTAACTGAAAATATAGAAAAGAACATACGATTATCTAACCGAAATAGTAAAAATGAGTAAGCGATGGCTATTAAGACCCCTATTAACTGATCTTTAGATTAAGTCGTATAGCCATCAATATGACACCAGCCTCAAGATCCAGACGCACCAGTCATGATCTCGTACTGATCTTCCCGACCTGGTCATGCATTTCCTGCCATAAACTACTTCAAAGTTACTTTCTTCGTCACATTCACTGATCTTTAGATTAAGTCGTATAGCCATCAATATGGCACCAGCCTCAAGATCCAGACGCACCAGTCATGATCTCGTACTGATCTTCCCGACCTGGTCATGCATTTCCTGCCATAAACTACTTCAAAGTTACCTTCTTCGTCACTTTCATTATCTGAAACAGTCTCGTGTACTTATCCGGTTGCTGTATGTCCTGTATCTTGTTGGGTCCTTGTTGTTGGCCTAAATTTCAATCCATTTTCAATCCTTCAATTCATTGCAACAGACGACGGGAAAAAATCAATGCCAAAATATACTCTTAAATAACGAAACTGGACCATTATTTTTGGAATTCAATTGGTGCAAAAAAAGTTTTAGCTTTTTAAAAAGATAGCAAATAGCATGACAAGTACCCGTAGTGTCGGGTCTGAAGGGACTTAATGTAGGATAATTAGATGCGAAATGAGCGTTAACACTCTAGAAAAAGAAGGACTTGTTTTGCATATAGGACAGTGGTGAACGGACTAGTAGGGAGACTTTTGACGGAACTAAGGGCGTATAATGTAACCGTTTATTGAGCTTGATTCGCGACTTCACAATACCGTAACGCTGGTGGTAAAAATCCCACTTGTGTTATCTTGAGTTGGTTCGCTTTTTATGATTCGTTGTCAAACAGGGCGAAAGTTCTCTATCCAGTCCCTCATCACAACTTCAACTTCTTTTGGTACTGTTTGCACCGATGGGAGAGACATAGTTGAAAGTGCTGATAGAGGCATGAAAGTATTTGAAAAGGCACAATTCGATTTTTCTTGAGTGCAGCCCTTCGAATTCGTAGTTCTTTTAAGCGATTCCTTCATTGTGGTTTCAAAGTCTTGTGCGTACGTAGTTTAAAGCACTAAATGTTTTGTGTTGAAGTGAGAAACAGCGTGTAGGTTTTCCACCTGTGTTATCAGAAGTTTTCTGTACCTCGATACAGATTTTGTCGACATCCTCTTTCGCGTCCCTGTGTTACCCTTTTTTTTTTTTCTGACGTACCTTTTTCGCGCGTATTTCAAAAGCGTCATAAAGATATCCAAGGGTTTTAATGAACGAACCTGTTTCAGAAAGACAGGTTTAAACACGATCTTAATAGCCTCGATAGTTAGAACTGCAACATCAGCTACAACAATGATTTTTTGGTAAGTACAAATTACATGTACTTTAAAGAAAGATGTTGATTTCTTTGAGCAATCAGAAGATCTAATGCTTAGAGTTAGCTTTTTTCTTTGGGTAGTAATGTTTAACGTGACGTTCTTTGGGGTCCGTGAAAACAGTTCTTTCCTTTTCCGAACACAAAAATCTTGTTTCTTGAGTTCTCAACAACCAGCTGCTCTATGATTGACCCTTTCTGTTTGCTGGGTCCGGGTACTGCCCAGGCGCCTTTTGTGCATACTAGTATGTGTTAATGTGCCACCGGGTGATCAGCGGGACAGAAAGAAGGCAGAAAATAGCATTTCTGCTTGCAAAACTTTGTCGCATTCTTTAACATCAACGATCGTATAAATAGAATGTCACTTAACTGTTAAATTTTCATTTCTCAGTTAACTACTATTTTCTTAGCCAAATATCAGTTAACTGCTAACCCCATTAGCACCCTCTTATCAGTGCCGCGAAAGTGTGTAATTGTGTGATTTCCAAATGGCTTTGACAGGCAGAACTCAGATTTGTGGTCGCGTGGTTGAGCTATTGCACTAAAATATTCTGTGCCAGCAATAAAAAGGTTTCGTCGGTGTTTAGCTTACTGAGCTTTGTTGATTGCGCCTTGCAAAATCAATTCTCGCCTCAAGACAATTACATCTAGGTCTAGTTTCAGAGGGCTCTTTGGCTTTGAACTGTAGGCCGGTTTTGGCAGATAAAAAGATGATAATTTGTGTACTAATGCTGCGATCAATTCCTTGTCTATTCCATGCGAAATCCAGTCATTTTTCGGACCGCGAAAAAGTAGTGTTTTGATAACTATTTAAGTTGTTATGCAAGCCTAAACCAGCCACTTTTTGGCTGCATTTCACTTAGCCTGAATTTCATCCGATTACTTCGGGTCGTTGTTACCCTCTCAGTGAAACCTCCTTTAAAACTTATCGATATTCAGTAGGGGTATCATCCAATGGACTTTACAAATTCAATCACTTGGGGCGGAGGAGTGAGGGGGGCTTTTAATTCGGTCTGAGGAAAAGTACGATT